CACACACACACACACTATACACACATTATACACACACACACACACTATACACATACACACTGTCACACACTATATACACACACAATACAAAACATGCGCACACACTACAACCACAACACACACTGCACACTCGCGCACGCGCGCACACGCGCACAAACACGCGCTAGCTCGCACGCACGAAGCGGTGCGCCCGCTTTGAATAAGGCAGCTAGCACTTAGCATGCTAACTAATCCAAGGGCAGTAAAGCTGGGTGATGTTAGCATGTCGAGCTAACTGTGCGCGTTCCTCACCTTCCCGCTGCGGCTCCTGCTCCTCTTCCTCTTCTTCGTCCTCTGTTTGTCAGCGGGGGGTTAAAGCACTCGCATCCCAGTGGAGCCGCTCTTTCCGCCGGTAGAAGCGTCGGACCCGCCGGTGGAGGGATCACGGAGGTAACGGCCGCACCGGGAGCGAACGAGCTGTCAGTCACGGCTCAGAGCTCCCGCGGAAGCCCGCCCACTCTCCTGCTGCGTGCGCGCCCCCGCGACAGGAAGCCAGCGACGCTTTAACGAGGACGCGAAGAAGAGAAGCCGCAGCGCCGCTAACGCACAAAGTTGAGGTTTGTGAAGAAGTTTGAGATTTTCAGACTCCAGCGAGCCGCTGCTGCGGTTCCCCGACACGCGGAGTGTCCCCGCTGCGGGCTCAGCAGCTTCAACTCGACTCACTGTCTCACCTCGGCCTTGTTTGCTCGTCGGTTTAGCCTCGTCACGGGCTAACGTTAGCATTGGCTCAGCCGAAGAGTCCGCACGGCTAACGGGCTAGCTGCTACTTTAGTTAGCTTCGGTTTAAAAAGTGTGTTGAGGTCACGAGCAGCTGGTTTCTGTGTTTTAAACTTTGAGACGATGTGACGGCGACTTGTATCCATCACACTTCCGGTGTCAGCTCAGTGTTAAACAGCGACGAGCAGTTCGCTTCTCAACGCTTTTTGTCCAACTTACTCGGAAGTAGTTGATTCCTCGAAGTATCTGTCTTTTTAAAATGTGTTTTAAATCAATTGACATAATTAAAAAGTAGATTTAAAATCAGAATGACTTGTTAGTGGGAGTTACTTTGGGCTAAATCAGTGAATGCACTGAAATAACCTTAAATCAGATCTATTTAACTTTGACCAACTTTAACATTTATTTGTATGTTCGATAAAATTCTCTTTGTGTTAATGTGAATCATTGTACTTAGTAAAACTCATTAAACTAAACTAAGTGAATTTCATAACCACGTAAAAGTCATGTTTATTTTAAACTTAAAACATTTTTCCCATAATGCAGCTGTCTTCTCACGTGTATATTGTGCAGTAACATGAACATTTCATCTGTTTTTGTTTCACTGTTCACAGCTTTGTTACTCAGCAGTGATAATCATGCCACAGTCAAATGCACGTGTGGTTTTAAAGCCTGAACTTTTTTTTCCTCCAGAGTTCGGTGCAGACAGATCTGAAGATGTCGTCGGGCGCTCTCTTTCCAAGCCTGGTGAGCGGCTCCAGAGGAAGCTCCAGCAAGTATCTGGTGGAGTTTCGTGCTGGTAAAATGACCCTGAAGGGAAACGTAGTGACACCAGACAAACGTAAGGGCACGGTGTACGTCCAGCAGTCCGACGACTCCCTGATTCACTTCTGCTGGAAGGACAGGACATCTGGCAATGTTGATGATGTGAGTAACGCCTGCAGTGCTCAGATGTGCTGTTACCAAGTGTTCACATGGAAATAAACAGCAGAGACTTTGACAGCTGCTCAGATGACTGTTGAAACTCAGCTTGACAAACGTTGCTATCTTTAGACGTGTACATTCCACAAATACAACAAATAACAGTTTGTCCCTTTGCTTGATTCTCGTCATTCATCCTATTTGCACTTATAAGCTATTTTTAAGCATCAGATGCTGGCCCTCCACATCCTTCCACAGAGACTGTCTTTATTTTAGAGCTGCAATTTTTTTGTATCAGTCCTCCCCTCTCTCATGAGTGTCTTATGTTACCTTTCCTGTCCCAGGACCTGATCATCTTCCCCGATGACTGTGAATTTAAGCGTGTGAGCCAGTGCACCACGGGACGTGTCTATGTGCTGAAGTTTAAAGCCGGATCCAAGAGACTGTTCTTCTGGATGCAGGTGAGAGGAAGATGCTCCTCGTGCTCTTTAAACAGAAGAACTGGAGACTGTGTGAATGAATGACAGCTGTTTCTATTGTGCTCAGCTGAAGGTTCAATACAATTAAACAAGGGAATTTGATGATGACAGCATGACTGTAATCAGTTTATTCAATATTTATTTAAGTCTAGAGAGATGATTGAGTCAAATAATGTTCACAGCAGCTGGAAGGAAAAGTACATGAGTTACTAAGAACATTAATTATGAGTTCCACCTGATTAAACCCTGAAGCTCAAGCAGCAAAATGGAATCAAACCATCATTTATTTATAATTTTTTAATTCTGTGTTTTTTCAAACTTTTACAAAA